TTCCGCCTACAATCTTCCAGATTCCGCCAAAATCCAAAACTTTTTCTTGTAACCATATTTCAGCTAAAACTTTTGTATTGCACAAACTGTTTGAGGTACACAACGTTCTCAATAAGCAACTCATTACAAACGATAAAAATCCAAGTACTGATGTAATAAGTAAAAAGAGTAGGTGTGAAACTCTGGACGATATTTCGTCGCTATTAAAAGGGTGGAAGGCCATAATGATAGTACAATCGTCCATTCAGCCTATCTATCGGCCCATCACATTTCAAGCAAAAAATTTTGAACTTTAAATTTCAGCAATCTAATTTTTTGTAAAATAGTAAACTGACTTTCTGAAAATTCAAAAAAATCAAAAATTTTTGGATGCCTAAAGTTGACCTGCACACAAAGAGGTGACACTATCGCACGTTTTCGCAGAAGTAATCTTTTACTACGTTTGCGAAGAAAGACATCATAGCTCAGGCTCGTAACTTTTAACAGGGATTTATAAAATCGGTCCTGCATTTGGACGCAAGGTTGTAATTCAGAATAACATACGGAATACAGATGCATTTTTTAACTCTAGAGCAGGCCATACTGCTTTTTAAATGATTGATATTTTGCTTCATAGGATGTTGCAATATGAATGGCACGAAATCAGCTTTCGGAGCTCACTGCACTTTGAAGCTTCGTGTTTAGAAGAAGTCGATAATCTTAAAACGGAGATTTTGACAATATTTAATCACGTTCCTGCTTAGGCTTTTATTCTGGATACCTCAATTGCTTTGTTTAACAGTAACGTTATAACTACTGCAAATTTCAGCTACTGGGTGGCACCTTACATGTATGGTCTAATGACACTAGCTCAGACAATAAGGCAAGTTTTTTCCTCTTCTCTTTCAACATTCTAACAATGACAAAACGACCCTTGGACGTCCTCCGAAGGGATGAGGTGTTTCATGTACAGTGTCTGTTGGGTAGGTAGTCCAGCACACCGAAGCCTGATATAGCCTCGCATCCCGGAAACGTCCGGGGTTCCATAGTGATGACAGCCGTTGAGTGCCATTCACTGTGGAACCTTTAATGTTTCCTCATAAGGAATACCTCCAAGAAACGTGGTGAAGGTCTGGCAAACCTACAGTGATCAATCGCGGAACAAAATTGGCTGCAAAGATAAATAAAGATTAGTTCTAGTTGCGTTCGTCTTTCCTAAATTAGCTGTTTGCATCCAGTTTCTAGAGTGAAAGTCAAATTAGATTTTCACGAGAGGCGAGAATATGCAAAGAAGACCTTTAATTCCTCGCTGATTTTTCGCTTTTTTCTGATTTTTTATCCCTCAGAACTTGGGATCGGGACATTACTGGGAATGATATTAGAGCTGATCACAACTTTTTCTGAATAAGCTGAGCAGGTGAAATGCTGCTTCTGCAACGTATTCCTTTTCTCGAAGAAAAAAACGATGAAAGTTAAAGACAAAGTTGGTCTACGCAGGGCTGAAAAGGATATTAAAAGTTATGATGGTTTTTTTGAAGTTGTACGAAGCAGTCGAACAAGGAACCAGCTTAAAAGATGATAAGGTTGAAGCTAAGTGACGACTTTTGAATGGCTTTTGTAGACAAGCCAAAAGATCAGGCGAAAAATGGAAAAACCTTTACAAAGAAAGAAATTTTCTGGCTGTGGAGGTCCGGAGTTCGGAATTATATTTCATCCCTTTGTAAAAATAAACTCTTCTCGAAGCTGAAACTGCAGTGCACACTGCAGCGAAGGGAAGCTGCAAGAAGGAATCCATGAGAAACTAGCAACAAACACAAACCGTACTGTTTATCCAGTACTGCGAAGCAGGGAAGATACCAGAGAAAAGGAAGAAGTCCAGAATAGCATTGCCACTCAAGAAAAAAACTCTTAATGAAGGCACTTTCAACTTCGACTAAATATCTTTGTCTTGCAGAAAGGCGTATGCGTAACTCGTATCTGAAAACAAACTGTTTTTGATAAAGATTTGAAAAAAAAAGAGACATTTTTTAAGCGCTTTGCGCTGTAGCAGCAGTACAAAACGCATGTTGTCGAGATTCTGTCAATGTATTTGTTTGATTGGGTGCAGGCACGCACGCAGTATGTATGTTCAGACTTTTATTTTGGGTTTTTGGTTCAGCAACCAGGGAAGCTATATAGGAGGATGTTTCCTGCTAAAGGGCGACCCTGCAAATTTGGATTCAGCTTGCACAAACGCTGAGGTTCCGTGCCATGAAGCTGTTGACAGGACATTTTCCAACTCGGGGATTTAACAAGATGAAAAGCTGAAGTTTTATGAGAATGCTTCGTGTTCATGTGCGACTTCGGAATTTTCAAATTCAGCTTCCGCATACGCCTACGTTTTATATAAGGAAACGTTAAAGTTTTGACGGGATATTTCCTGACTTTGAAGCCAGGCAAGTTTGAGAGCTGAGATTTTAAGACGATGCTTCCTGTCCATTTGTTATCGTAAATTTAAACTAGCTTTCAAATGCTCATAAGTGTATCATACTGACACTGAAACTTCAAACGGAAATATCAAACAGCAAAGCAGTGAATCTTAATTACTTATTAGCAGCACGCGCCAACTGAGCAGAATTGCGCAAAAATGCATGATTGCAACGGCTATCCTAGTGTGTGCCATTACTTAATGTATCAAGTATGTGTCAGCAGTAAGGCAGCTAACAAAACTGTATAAAACATACATTCATTTGCAACTCCTATCTTCAACAGGAAAACCAGGAGATGCGCTTTAGAAAAGTAGAACGGCTGGGAAAGGACCGGGTATCTCTGGGGTAAGAGCATTAGCAGCGTAGATTAGACTAGTTTGAGGCATTCATGGCGAGAGAATCGATTTATATGGTGATATAGTATAACATTTGCAGTGTGAAACATACTTTTTCGATAACACCTGTGTTGAACAAATTCAGCCTTACGGGTTCATTTTTCTGTATTTGTTTTCTTCATTTTTGACCCCTTTCCCCTTTGCGAACTAGTACTCCAGTTTTTTGAACAGTACCAGTTCGGCCAGGTTGGTTTCACTCCTGATGTCTTTGAACTGAGTTTGACAACTTGTAAGCAAATTTTCAGGATAATAAACCTTCCGTAGAGCTAAGTTTCAGCAACTTTTGACTGCAGCAGATAAAAGAGTGCCAAGACTGATTTCATAAAGGCAGAATCCAGTTTAAAGCGTTTTAAGAGCTGTAAGGGTAGGCTTACGATTTGCAAAATGTGCCTCTGCGGTTTTTATTGTTAGATACCTTACAAAGCCATTTTGTGTAATGAAATCAGGACGTGAGAATTCGGGGATTTGCTTGACAAGACATAAAATTTTTGGTTCTAGTTTTGGCTCACTAATTTGAATTCAAAATTTACTTTTTAAAAAATAAGATGGTTAAAAGTTCGCTAAATCTGTGGCTAAACTGATGCAAGAAATTAAATTTGATGATGTATGGAACGGAAGAATGGAGATGGAAAGGGAAAAGGGCAGGAATAAGGATAAAAGGAGAGATGGAAAATTCTTTTTTTTTTCATTCACAATTTTTAAGCCTAGGGTTTTCGTAAACAGTAATTTTTTTCATGAAGAGAGGAGAGGGGAAGAAGAGAAAAGGACCTCTTATCCACAGCTTTTTCGGCCACCAGATTCGAAATGGGTGAGGCACATGTGCAGTTCTGAAAAAAGCAAAAGCGCTCAAGTTGTTTAACTTCCGTCAATTTGAAAAAAAAAAAGACCCGCTAACTAAGGCAAGCATCAGCCATACTACAGGCTTTCTAATAACAAATTGGATTCTGCGTAAGTTTGATTCATTAGGTTCTCAGTGACGGTATTGTGCACAGAAACCAATCTTTTTTAACAATCTATTCAAAACAAAAGCTTTTCATCTATATGCGTTTTTGCGCTTGCATAAATGTGCAAAAACGCACGATAAGCAGAAAAATGAAACAAGTTGGTTCCTGTTTCTCAAGAACTTTAAATAGCACTCTTGAAAGCCTCTCACAAGAAATTCAAGCATCAGACAGATGCTGTTGTGAACCAAGCTCCATACGAACTGGAAAAGAGTGGAATTTCCCGTTTTCGCTATCTTTAAACAGTCGAAGTGATGTGTTAATACTTGGCCAAGATCCTCATGCTCAAAATGCAGCAGCTAATCAGGAAGAAGGACTAAACACACAAATACTTCTCCGTTTTTGTAGCTTTCTTGTGCCCTCCGCCATAAGCGTAAAAAAACAAAAGTGTGAGCCACCTTCATGAAACACCTTTTCTAGCGATAACGCAACACGGCTTTTGAAAGCCCTACTTTTTCAGTTACACAGTGTTGCCAATCCCGTCGCACTGGTGCAAAAAATGAAATGCCACGTGAAGTGTGAAATGCGAATCGCTAGATGGAGAAAGAGGATGGGTAGAGTGTGAGTGAGAGGCAATATCTGTAGTAAAATGTGGACCAGCAATAAAAAGTATTGGCGGAAATAAATGTTGAGTGCGCTTCCCAAAAAGTAATTTCGAATGAGCTAGATAATGAGTTTTCTGATGCTCACTCTAAGCAGATACGACGCATACACATGCGAACAAAGAACTGCCCGGTGAGTTCTGGCAGCAAAACTGTTGAGTCAGCGAGTACAGTAACCAGCGGCAATGAAACTGAAAATGGACCGCATTGTCTCGTTTGAGCTGCTTTCCATCACACCTTCTAAGGATTTAATGTTTCGCGACTTGCTTCACAATGAAGTAAACCACCAACAGCCATTCGCAGTTCATGGTACATCTCGAAATTAGTTTCTAAAGTGCTTGCATTAAAAAAGTAGTCGGCCCCTATGTCTGCCTTGTAAAATTAGCCATACGAATCTGATCAACGAATTATTACTGCAACTCCTGACCATGTTTCTACCAAAATTTTGAGCTTCGTTTGCGTCTGACAATCACATTTTTGGAATTAGAAGGAAACCATGTTTGTATGTAGTATTTTTCCAACAAAATCAGAAACAACAAGCATTGCAGCGTGTGGATGACGACGGGTATGTCAGTGCATCGATATATTGGAGTCTGTCTGCCCTTCAAGGCCTCATCCCTCCTGAAAACTGCTCGAGTTCGGATATTCATTTTAGCACTACTTGCGTTCTCTCTTCTTTTCAATATTACTCGGTTTTTTGAGGTGCGTCCTTTTTTTTTTCGTATCAGAGATTCAGAGCAGGTGATAATAGCCATACTTAAAGTTCGTTTTTTGAAATTTCATGTTTCATCATTTTATTACCTAACTACGCTCAAAATGTAGGCGCCATCTTTTTGTCATAATGAGGATCACTATCTTTACACGCAACATTACTAGACTGACTCGTCAGGAATCGTTCATTTCTTTACTTTTTGGATAATGCTGCTCCACATTTTGCCGTGAAAGATTCCTCAGTATAAATCCACTGCTCAGTTGATTAGCCATGCGGCCACAGAGAGTAGCTCTGGCAAGTGTTCTAGGGTGATAGAGGCTGATTTGACGCATATCGATACGTCATTTTGGTAACACTAACGGTTTCGTACTGAAATCTCGTGCAGGTTTGAAGCCTTTATAGGAAATAAAAACATCTAAATAAGGCAAGCATTAGAAAATTTATTTTTGAGGAAAATTCAAAAGTACTATGCTATTTTACTGTGAGCTTACTGGACATTAGCAGAAAAAGCTGCTGTAACGCACGTTTTTGAGCTGAATGGAGTATCCGGACGGCTAGTCAACCATTTCATGTTAAAATACCAATGAAAAAGGAAACAAAATATGCAGCGACGCGCACTGTCGGGCGAATACCGCAATAGATTTTTGCTGTTTGTTGCGAGCTTGCGGCGGGATAGATACGCAAAACGTACAGAATTGTTCTTGCTTGCTAAGACGCTTTTTTGACCTGTTTATCGCATTAAAAGAAACCAAAGTCTAGATTCTTAGTTCGTTTTGCACATACTTTGTAGTCACATACCATACTTTAATGCGCTGCTATAAGTTATGCATGGTAAGGCTTAAAATCTGCTTCCAAGTCATTTAATTCTTATTGTGCTTGTGCAATGAAGTCAAAAATTTCTAATTCATTACTCAGTTAGATTCTGCAATTACAAAAGTAGCCTCAAATAGGCAACAGGTCAGGACACAATAGGCCCAGAAAATTATTTACTGCCCTTGTATGCCGCTTTAAGAACTACAAGTCTAAATCGTGTTCTATAGAAATTATTTGATTTGCGCTATAGCTCACAGTTCCTGATGCCATAAGGAGCTGAGACCAGGATATTTACTCACATCACTTGATTAATAAGTCATGAAAATTTCGGATTCATAAGCCCTACTCGTTTTTTGAGTTATGAAATTAGTCCAAAAAACAACATCCCTATTCGCTTCCTGTTAGAGGCGAAAGGCACTCGGAAGGTAGCCCGAGTAGTTGCAAATCTCAGCAGCAACCATCTCCAGGAAGGCTGTCTGTGGCTTTTCATTTGATTTCCTTACACATCTCAGCGCCAAATTGCCGTCGAAATGAACTGCGTCTTGTCTTGCAGCATGCTATATATTCGGTTAACAGGATTCACAAAATACCAAAACACATTGTGTCACAGTTAAACACAAGCACTTAATTTAAGTGAGTTTCAGGTGCGTGTGGTGAACAATTGCTTTCGGTCTAATATAAATGCCTTCATTCCGGTCCTTGCGCCATCAAATCTTCGGCTCAATCACACCTATCGCCTTATATTTTTTGGCTGGGCCTATACTATATTAATGTTTGTCATGCCATTTTCGTTGCTTATCGTTTTAAATTCTCAGGTTCGTTTTTCCTCTTCACATCCCTTCATTTTTTGCATTGCTTATCTTAAACATCTGTGTGTTTGTGTAAATCGAGTCGGGAACTATGAAAACTAAGAAGATCAGTTTTCAAAATACAACCCCCGTCTTAGCACAGCCATGAACCTGATATTATTCTTCATACTGCCTTGTTTCATGGCTAATAAGTTCAAAACTGAGTTCATGCTGATTTCTTTAATGTCACAAAAAAAACAGCTATGAAGTTGAAATTTTATTTTTGTCACGAATTATAAAAAATCTGGAATTAACTTTCATCGATCTGAAATAAGTAAATAAGAAACAGTCTTCATCTTATTCATTTTGGCTTCTGTGAAGAGAATGTTTTTTTCATATTCAAAAATAAGAAACTGTTGAATTTGATGAGGTAGTGATGAGCAGATTAACTTGGAAGTGGCATGGAGTTTTAAATTTCTTTTCCTCTCTGGCGGTACAGCTAAGCGTTTTGCAGCGAACGACCGTCCTCATCCAAATATGTAAATGAACATTAGTTCATTTGCATGCTCGGATTTTTTCACAAACGGCCGCTTGAGCAATACTTCTACTTTTTAATAAGCTGGAAATTTGCATTTTCATTTTTTTAAAAAGCTAGCATTTGCTGAAAAAACGGCCGAGCTTCATGCGGAAAATTGATAATCATGCACCTGCAGGTCCATGCGACTCCATAATGCAACACCCTCATCCCAACTGATGCCCATTCTGCTACATGGCGGAAGAAACCAAAGCATAGCCGATATAAGCCCAAGTGTTTGGTTGCAGCGCAGAGGTTATTCCTGCTATTGGCGACTCGCGAGTTTAATGCAAAAACGCATGATTGCACCGGCAAGCCCGGTGCGTTCCAGTTTGGGTTTTTCAATGACTAAGCATAATAAAAACAAAAACGTGGGGGTAAGCAAAGTCCTGGTAACCCGATGAAACGTGGGATGTCGAACAAATGCTTGTTGTCGAACAAATGCTTGTTGTCGAACTTTTCACAATGTCGAACAAATGCTTGTTGTCAATTTGCACAGTTTTATCAACAGGCACTAACTACTGAGGGTACAGAAACTCTTATCAAACTTGAAAGGGTTCTTATTTATTTCTTCATTTTCACGGTCCCCAAGTGCCGTACAGAAATCAAAAACTTATCGGTGTTAACTTTCACATGTCCGTATGTGGATCATAGAGGGAATTAAAAGTTTAACTTGTACTTACCCATACATTGTCATGAACCAAGCTCACAAAAGTCTGAGTTTGGCGTCAACTTCCAGTCCCGCACACAGAGGACGTGAAGGCTGAATTTATGTTTTTAGCCCACAGATGGTCACTGATCGTCCTGACAACAATTCAGGTTTTCAAACTGGTCTGGGTGCTGAGTTACAAAATTGCCCGCATCAATTTCTACGTGCCCATACGTGAGATTTAGGAGGCTTGAAAATATACTCTGAATCATGGACCAAACTCACAAAAATTTAGCTCTCTAGCTAATTTGGTTGTAAAGTTACAAAAATAATCATTCTAAATGCTCGTGCATGAAGGGTAAGAGGTTGTCAACATCCATTTTGCATTTGAAGGCCAATTCTTTGTGATGCAGTAAGTTGCCGAAACTTCAGCTTCATAGCTTCTAGATCTGGAGATCGAAATATGCGGAGAGACAACTTTCCAACTGAATACGTTTCTCCACCACATTGTTGCAAAAAAAATGTAACAGTAATCAGAACGCAAAAATTTTTATAGGTCAAGAGTTCAGAACACTTCTGTTATAAATAAGTTCGTGACAATGCAAAACACATTGTGCCAAATCACAATCAGTCACTAACGAGAAAGCCGCATGCTCTTTGCTTTCGTACTTCGGATGTCATGGCCATTTTTTTTTTTTCATCCGGCAAACAAATGAGTTTTGGAAAAGCATTCAAGTGTTCTGGCGATTGTTTAATAATTTGCGAATGTTGCTGCGATTGAAGTTACATCAGGCTTCTGTAAAAGAAGTCATGAGCTTTGCCGGATTTTATTTAAAAAACCGACTTCTAAACGCTGAGGAGAAATGAAAGAACTGCTCTTAATTGCCACTGGCTCATATATCTAGTAAAAATACGGATTTTCGGCTCCTGTAGTAGGATAATTTATTTGCAAAGAGGAGCACAATCAAAATTTTTATCTTTTCAAAAATCAGGGATTTTTAACTGGAAGTTGAAAAAAGACGGAAAACAAACGAAAGCAAAAGGGCAAACACTAACTGTGATGGAGAAAGCAGTGGAACGAAGGATGCTTGGAGTATCTCTTCGTGATCATGTAGGCAGTCAAACTCTCCATAAGATGAGCGCGTGCGGAACAGCATCGCGACCACGCAAGATCGTAAAAACGGGTAGGCAGGGCAAATTGCTCACTTTGCTTGCAGCCAGAGAGCACTGCGAATTATTGAATGGCGTTTGAAAGGAAAAAAAGTGACTTGGGCAGTGGCCTTTCAAAGGGATGCCGCAGGTGCATCGGACAAGTAATGGATGTTAATTGGGGACATATATCTAGGGGTCGAAAACCTAGTATTGCTGCATTTGGCTTGTTGGTGCGACCCAGTAACATCACTAACATGGGATCCCCGTACCGATTGTCCGGACGATCCTGGCACTCACTCTTGACAGCTGTAAAAAGATTTACTGCTGAAAACACTTTGCTTCGTCAAAAGCTGCAGTCAGAGACATATTGGCGAAAAATTGAGTTTTTCAGGTTTTGTTTGCTGTTCGACGCTCGAATCGGTTGCACAGAAGGCAGAGTACCGCACCCGATGAGATGCTGAAACAAGCAGAGCGTAAAGAGCGCCAAACGTCTATAATGCTAATAGCTATTGTACTCGTTTTCTTATCCTGCAATACGCTGGCTTTTGTAGTAAACATACTGGAAAATGTTGGATATGATAACGCCCTTTACGTCTCCCTTGTAACCTACAATAACTTTTTGGTAAGTCATACTGCACTGCCATAGATACATTTCAGAAATTATGTAATAACTCTGCAACAAACACTGCCTGCTATTAACACACAGTTACTCGCCCAAAAACTTTTCGAGAGGGCGTTTTTGCTGAGATGGTAAGCATTTTTAGCACTTCTTCAGCAAAAACGAAACATAAAATACTTTTTATTTGTTTTTGTATCACTAATGCAACAAAAACATTTTCAAGCCAGTTCATTTCTCTGTATGTGTACGGATGTGTATGCGTGTACAGCATGTATGCATGCATGCATACCCGTGTGTATTTAAGCATGTGCGTACTTCCTTGTGCATGTGTATTCACGCATGTGCGCACGTATTTCAAATGCTGAATTACAGGTGCCAGAAAGTTTAAATTTTAGAAGCAAAATCACTAACAGTGTTTGAAGATCACAAATGTGAAATTAGTTTTCAGCTTATGTACTACTTGACCTCTGCCACTGAATCAGGTGAAATTTAAGCGCAAGAAGCAACCTCGAAAGTTCTTAGGATTGAAATCAACCCACATTTCTATATCCTAGCGAAATACTCAGGTTTTAATGCGGAGGAAAGTCTAAAACCCATGAAATGAACAAAAAATTTTGAAATTTATTAAGTTGTGGAGTGCAAGCATAATTTAAAAGCAGTTGTCCTAAGCTGTGACTTTAAATCCATACTAGGCCAGTTCACTAACTTCAGAACGAAGGGAACACGAAAACCAAAATTATGACTTTGTAGTTAGTTAAAGACACAATGCAGTGTGAATGACTAGACACTAGTTTTTAAATCCCTTTTCCGTATCAGTGACCTCATATCACGAGCTCAAGCTGATTCCATACAAAAATGGTAGACCCAAAATTTTCAGATTTACTTTTGAATCATATTAAGAGCTGAATAACCTGGGGCTGGGTTTTAAACTTTCTGTGCGCTGATCTAAGAACCTGAGTATTTCAAAACGAAACAATTCTCGGTACTTCTAGTGCAATTAATAAGTCGGAAAACCACTGTGGCGAAATGAAACTAACCTCTTTCTTTCTAACAAATCTACCTCTTGTTAACCTGTAGCAGCTCATCGGGAAACATATAATAGCACTGACTATCTAGTGCGCTTCACTATCTATGTAGTCAGTAAATTCATACTTTATTAATAAAAATTCCATTTATGCAATAAATCTTTAACTGCTTTTTTTTGCGTAATCGACTGCCTGATTCTAATTTGAAAACAAAAGTCATTTGGCAGGGTGTTTGCCTCAATTTCTTAAAGCTTCTTACCTATCATCCCTTTTATACGTCAATAGCACTTCATACTAATCATTAAAAATGCAATCATGCTAATTTAAAGCGTCCAAGTTGTTTGCACTCAAGCAGCCTTTTATCTGCTTTCTGTTTTTATGCATTTTACAAGCGATTTGTGGAAAATGCACAATGGCAAGTCTATGCTTATGTGTACTTGTTTCGGAATGAATCGACTGTGGGGATCACTAAGTTTAAAAAATAAGAATTTTGAGGGGCTGCCGCCGACACCGTATGGAGCAAAAAATCTGACTTTCACCTTTCTCTTTATCCAATATCATCACTAAAAATCGAAATTAGGATCTGCTTTAAAGTTTTGCCAACGAATTTGCAATGAATTTGAAAATTTAGGGGCTCAGCTCGGCAAACAATATGAGCTGCATGATTTAAGCCGCGTTCAGTCTCAGTTTACGATCTCAATTCCAAGTTCACACCGCTGCCATAACTTTGGAATAAGAAAATACAAATTCTAAATTCTTCTGCTGTTATTTTAGCCCACAGCATACTGGATAACCAGAAAACGCTTTAAAAACGAAGTGTGTCCAAACTGGCCTGCCTTAGGTCTAAAGCTAGTCTATAATTTTGAAATTAATCAAGTTAGTAATTCGAGACCATCAAGTTTTATTTTGCAGTATCATACAGGATAGTTAGCATGAAATTAGCCTAGAATCACCAGCCTGTTCTGACTTCTGGTGACAAATCCGAATTCAGGCAGGTTTTATAATGTCTAAACGAAAAAAAGTTCGAAATTTCGAGGTCCTATTTTGTCCAATTACTGTAAAGTGAATAGTATGAAATAGCTGCTCGAAATTCACTGTGTCTTCAT